AATATGTGCATTCATTTTTATAATACTACTTCTATGTTATTTGTTGTAATAAATATCATGAAAATTAAAAAAAAAAATATAAATAACATACTGTCCTAAATCATTATTTTTAGGACATAATCATTTTTATTTTTCAAATATTATTTATAAAAATGCTTTTACTTTATATTACGTTTTTTATATTCATTTTTTTAAAATAATAATTAATGAATTAAATGTAGAGTGAACAGCTATATCAAAGATTTATTCTGCAGTATAATCATAAAATATATTAGAAAGTTTTGTGCTTAATGGAATAACTTGAACGATGGTGTATTTTGTAAATATTGTTTTTTTTAAGGTTTTTTAGTCCTCCTATTACTGTGTTCTTACTTACTTTTTTTAGTGTAATTTCATGGTATATTCACAATGCAATTATCCATTAATTTTATATTTTTGTCTATATAAATTTTTTATATGAACCAAAGTTTATATAGTAGAATCGAATAAAATATTTTTTATAACTCTTATAACATCCAGTTTTTCCAAATTTTAATTTATAAATTTATGAAACATCTTAATCTTCATATTTTAACTTATTTTTATCTGTATAAATTTTTAAATTAAATTTGGATACTTTATCTTTTTATTTGTTTCAATGTTCCTGATTATTTAATAAGCTTTCTGTTCTAATAACTAATGTGTTATCATAATTCTATATTTTAAAAATATATTTATTAAATATGGAATAAATATAATATATAAAATATAATTTTTTGTTTAAATAAATAGTTATATATATGAGTGAATATATTTGCGTCTATAAATAATATTAGATAAAATATTGAATATGCATGAACAAATTAATATAATCATTCATCATAGAATTCTTACATGTATAGTAGAACTATAAAGGTAAAGATTTGTATAAGAGAAATATACTTATACTTTCTCCTCATATTGTAAACATATCACTGTACTACGTATAAGCAGATGTAAATTTTGATATTTCACATATAGGAAAAGAATCATATTAGCATAGTATTCTATATACTTATAATAAATTAAAATGATTATATTAAAAAATAGATGAAATTATGTATATTTTAGTAAATTAATCGTTTTATAGTTTCTCTTATAAATTACACGTTTATCGTTACATACATATTATAAATACAAATATATTCGATTATTATGTAGATGTTTTTTAAAAACTATTAAATTTATCCATCCTCTTTTTAGAGAATTAGAACAAATTTACATATAAGGAAAAATATTTAATTTAAAAATACGCAATAAAAAGGACTGTTATATAAAATTTATATATATAACCTTAACAATTTCATTCAGTATATAGTACAAAATAATGAAAAAAGAAAAACTTTATATGTACTTATCTAAAACTATATACGTTTTATATAATAAGAACGTACTGATACAATACATTAAGAGCATTAAGAATAAAAGGATAAGAATTATATTTTTTTTAATAGCAAATTCTTTAGTGGAAAAATAAAAATAAATGCATTTTTTCACCATATGTTCTCATATATGATTAATTTATCATGAAATATTTATTTGTACTTAATAAATAATAAATATTCATACATATAATTGCTATGTAAATTAACGTCAGTTGTATCTGAAAAAATAGTAACAATTATTATATAGAAAAAAAAATTATATAAATATACATATACAGAATATAGTATGGTATTAAGTATGTTAATAAATTCAATAATTGATATGAAAATTCTTAATTCTTTGAAATAATCATAGACATATTATTTTTTTGAAACTATTACCTTATATATTTATAAGAATATTGTTTTTAGTTCATGATTTATTCGTAAGATTTTGTATTCTATATTAAATAAGTTTTTTTATATAAAATACGTTTTAATTTCATTGTTATTCAGTATAATACTTTACCCAAATATAATTTAAATCGTATGTATAATATTTATTAATGATTTAACTCAATTTATCAACTGAAATAATCTTTTGTTACATTGCACTTTATTCTTAATATTGTACATATATATAAATACGAAAATTTTGCTTTAAATTAGTCATTAATTAAAACTTTTATTACATATAACTCATTTTATATATTTTTTATAATCCTTCATTAATAATTCTATATTTCCTAAATTTTATATTATCATTATTTCAGGTGAGTTCTGTAGAAATTCGCATATTATATATTATTAACTCTGTACAAAATTTTGAGATTATAATGGAGAATAGATTACTGCTATTCAATATTTTTCCCTTAATTCTTAATTTTTTTTTATTCGTACAAGTTTCAATGAATTTTAATTAATTATTTATTCAATTATTCATTACTTTTCTCATTTTCCTATGTTGTATGATAATATTTTATTATTTTTTTCACTATAAGACGATTTTATATACCTTATACAAATTTCCCATTAATAAGACTTGTATCAGAGATATAATATATAGAATATGTTAAAATATTAGGTAGATGTAATATATATGGATTTGTATAAAACTCAGCCAAGGAATTTTTTCCCATTGTAAAATGCTCATAGTTACTGTTATGTACAAATTCAGTGTAAGAATATTCGGTTTATGCATATTCATTCAACATAATAATATAAAAATAAAGCAATAAATTATATAATATTTTAATAAATATATTATATACTTTCTTTATTTATTTATCATATATAGTTCATTGAAAATATACACTTCTTTTATAAAATAAAACGCTCTTTAAGTAAAATGAACATAGATCACATATCATTCTATGTCTACGCGCATTTTCATATGTTTTTTTAATAAAAAACAATAAAATATTTAAAACGTATTCAATTAATGAACATTTATATTTTTAAAATAAAAATATGTTTCATATATTCTTTTATATATAATCAAAATTATTAATAAAAACATAAAAAAAATAGGTTATTTATTCCTAAGTCTTATGCATTAATATAATATTCTCAAAAATATTTTAATATAAAAATGAATTATTTATTATTTTCTTTTATAATTCTAATTGCATTATATTACATTTTTAATGAACATTACTTGTTTTATAATGCTGTATAATATATTTAATATTTTACTTATATAATATAAATAGTTCTACTATTCTACTGTGTTTTGGGATAAATTTGTTCTAAATAGAAAGAAATATAGTGTATATAACTTTACTAAGCATATAATTATTAATATATAATACCATATATAATACTTTTGATTTTTTATTTAATATTAATTACAAAATTTTCTTGTATATTATGTATTATATATATCATTTTAATTAATATAAAATATCCAGTGTTTTACGAATATATACGTACAAGAGGATTAAATATTTATAAGAATAATATTTTGAATTATATAATAACTGTTTCATATTAAATTATATGACATATTTTAATATAATAATTATTGAATTAGCAGTCATACCAAAAATTATGTGAAATATAATATTTTTATTTTCAAATGTAAATTACATTTTAATTATATCAAATACTTAGTAATATATAGTTTATATATTCTTTTTTTGATTCAAATTTTATAGATTAATATTTAGGTTCAAATATATATGCATTAGTTCTTTTAGAGATTATAATCCCCTTTTTTATATATATTACATATATAAACATATCTATTTAGAGTTTGTTCTTGTTCATTTCTCTATTATTAACTTGTACCTTGTTTTAAATTCAAACTTATCCTCTTATGAAATGCATTTGGGTATGCGTATTATTATTGAATTTTCAAACATGTTTTTGTCTTTTAATGCATTTGATATATATTTAATAGTATTCCTTGTTATGTATTTTTTACAGTACAGTTCTTTCTTAATATTTTCTTATAATAAAATTATAATTTCTAATTTTCATTATATTAAAAATTTTCCCTCGTCCATAATATGCATATAGAATAATGGATTATATAATCATATATACTTATTAAATCATTATTCAAGTAGGATAATTAAAATAAATATGACTATCATAGTATAATGAATTATTAATTACATATTTAATTTTACAACTTTTAGTCTTTTATAATATTTTGTATTAAAGAATTTTTTAGATTAATATAATAATAGCGAAGAGACATAAATTTATCACATTATGTTGAATATTTATACTTTTAAAATTACATTATTCAATGTAGCTTTATTATGGTTTTTGATATATATATATTATTTTTTGTCTAATTTTTCTATTTTCCGTTCGCTGAATATAATTAATACATATTATTAATATCGAATTAGTTTTATTTTTATAATACATAAATGCATAAATAAAAACGAATATATTCTCAAAAATCATGTCCTTATTTTTAAGCGTAATATAACGAATACTAGTTTGGTAAATCTTATTTCTTATTGTATTCACTGTATTTATATAAATTTAAAAATACATAATAAATTTGTTTCATTAATTATTATAATGGATATATATCATAATAATTTATTGAAAATTTTTCTTAATTTTCGAGAAAATATTATTATATAAAGTAATATTTATTTACTACCAATATTTATACGAATAATAAATAAGTAATTATTTAAGTGCACAAGAAATTTAATTTCAAGATACTATAAGTGTTACTATTATTTATGTAATCCATTGTAAAATTTATGATGTTGAAGGAAAGAATTTATAAATATATTCAAAATATTAACCCCTGTCATTGTTTTGTATATTTTTTTTAAATATGTCTATAATTAAAATTATATAATATTTATATATATTTCAAGCAGAATAATTATTGTTTACTTTTAGTAATAAACTTAGATTTTTTTATTTTTCATTAAAAATATTTTTCAATTATATTATATAACAAAAATAATTAAAAATATATATTATATCCTATAATAATAAATCCTTACAATAATATATGATATTTTTATATGAGTTGTATTATTGTAATAAAGCGAAACAAAATATTTTTTCGTCCAATTTATTTCTATATAGAAATAGATAATATTACTTTCATGTATTTTATTTTTTTTCACTTCTTCAAAAATGTATAAAATTATTCGAAATGGAGGAGAAATTTGTGCGATTGTATTTAAAATAACATATATAGAAGAACAATAATATGTATATAGTCGTTCATGCACTAAAATTTTAAAAACTATCTCTGTAATAAATAATTTTTGTAATACTAATATATTTTTCCTATTTTTAGTTTGATATATTAGATTTATATTTTTCTGATTATAAAAAAATTTTTGATAATTCTACAAATGGACTAGCTGAGTATTCTTCTCAATGTCAGGAAATAAAAAACAGAAATACTCGTATCAATCATTTGAATATTATAAAGGAATATAATACATGCATTAAATTGATGGCATACTTATTTGATATACATAGTGTGCGCGATAACACATTAAGAATAAAAAATGGATTACAATACTTATACTATTTGTTATATAGGGATGATCAGAATTCTTTAAAATATAGTAAACAGATCAACGAAATTTATAAGGAATTCATAAATTTATATTATAAAACTAGTACCGGGGATTTAATTAAACCTTATTCGGAGATAAATATTTTCGACAATGAATGGAAAAAACTTAGAGATATATATGATTTGAATACTAAGATTAATTATATAAAGAATTATAATACATGTTCTGAGACTGATAGATGTGACTGTGTAGATGATTGCGCTGAAACATATATGCGACACGAGGATGCATGTTTATTGAATAGTGGTTCTCATTTTTGTGATGCATTAGAAAACATTAGAAACCAGTATAATAATATACCAAATATAACTGAAGAATGTGATAATCTTAAATGCAAAATGTTACCGTGCATTAAATATGAGGATATAACTTTACCTTATTCTAGAACTAGTACTAAACAAGCTATTTTAATTCCAGTTACTATAATATTAATAATCTCTCTTTTAATATTTATTCTGAATAAGGTTAGTTATTATTTCATTTATAAGTATTTATACAATAAAATGATTTCTATAAATAAATTAAAAATTAATGCTAATCAATCATATATATAATACATAATTTGTTTTATTATGAAACAGTTCATTCCATGGTGTTCACACTTCAATCGTTTAAGAAAAAGGTATTATAGAAAACATACAGATAAAATATGTTCAATTCAGAAATCTTCTGACGTATTTGAAATCGCAGCATGGAATAATAGATGTAACATATTATATAATTCTACCTAATTTTATTATTTAATATATAAGACAATGAAGACAATGATTATTGGTACGTAAACAGGTATTCAAAAATCATTTGAAAAATATTTTTCTTAGTAACTTGATATAAAGGGGAAATAGTTATAATAATAGAACAAATTATATTTTAATTTAAAAATAAGTCATAGGTTTATATAAAAATGCCATTATCAATGTATTTATACTTTAAACTAAAACATTAATTCAATATCACGTTCATTTCATGTTTTATTATTGAATTTATTAAAGGAATAAAATTATTTTAGTTTGTTCAGTAGTATATTGTAATATAAATAGGAATAAATTATATAGACAAATATAAAATACAAATTATGATATAGAATAATTCCTTTTTTATAGGTTATTTCTATATGTTTATCACACATATTAATATTTATATATGTTTAAGAGATAATGATCAGTAATTAAAAACATATATAAATAAGTGTTTTTATATAATATTTTTTATATCGCTATATTTAAAAAACATTAAAAAATATAAAAAAATGTGACAAAATATAGGAGAATCTTATATTTAATTGCAAAGAAAAATAATATATTTGAGAGTGATATAAAAATTAAAACAGGATATAACATAAATAAATATGAAAAGGTTGTTTTAATTCACGATTCATATAATACGTAAAATAAGAAATTATAATATAAAAATAAACTTAATTCTATTTAGTGTTACATCTTATAATAAGAAAAAATATTTTTTAATTTAATAGAACTGTTTTATGTAACATATTAACTCTACCCATATAATTCAAAATAGAAATATATTATAATATAGAGATATTGAAGTATAATAATTAAACCAAAAAGAATGTAATAATTAATATGGCCTTTATAATATATTCAGGGAATATACTTACATTTACAAAGTAAATTTATTTAAAACATATTGTTTATAAGAGAACAAGTAAATTCAATGTACATATTAAAAATTTTTTGGTGATTTATTATGTAATAAAATAAATTATGTAAATTCATTAGAATATAAATATATTATGAATAATTTTATCAAAAATTGTGATACGAATTATATGACTAATTTTAAAATATTAAATTATTTACATATATGAATCATTTTTTTGATAACCCTTATTTATTTAGTATCCTAATTAAAATTATTAATCTCTATTTTTTTTTAATATTTTTAGGTTTTTTTTTTCTTGTTATTGTTTATCTAGTTACCATACATTATAAATATTATAAAACATATATTTTCATTGAATATATAAGCACTATGTGACAGTAAATATTTGTTGCCAATATTGCTGTATTATTATATATTTTTGTGGATTTCCTAAAATTATTATTTATAAATGGATATGCTTTACTAACATGAAGGGAATATATCTTCATGAATGTGTAATAATTATAATTATATATATAAATATATATAACTCTTTTATTTTCATAATAGGACTAAATTACATATTGAATATATTTATTTTTTAATATTACATATATATGTTTTCTTATTATACATGAATTACAAACAAATAATGACAAAATATCAGTAATACTAAAATTTTAAATGAATAATATGCATATAATAGTATTATTTTATATATTAAATTTACATCTTAAGGAGATTTATATATTCTTAATAACACATAAATTAAAATTTCTCACAAAATGAATCCATGGGCATTACACAGGTTAAATATGAAAAAATATGTTAGTGAGATATTATTACACTATATTACATTACCACATGGGATAAATTTAGTAGATGTAAAATATTAATATTTTATCAAATATTATAAATCTCATTTAAATGTAATTATCTGAAACGAGAATAAATCATTCTGTTAAGCTAAATAATTTATATTACATACTATAATAAAGTATTTGCTAGAAGAAAAATCGTAAATTCTTAAGTATAAAAACTAGTGCTGTAATAATTCATCATTTGCAATCATAAATTAAAAGAAAAATTTTTTATGAATTGTGTGTTTCTTAAATGTATTTCTTCTTATATATAAATATTTTACGAATTATGTATGAAAAAAAAAAGAATTCATAATTTAATTGTATTAGGTTAAAATAAGAAAATTTAACAAAAAATGTAATATTATGTGTATATTCAATATAATTAATAAAAGAATATGTTATATTATATTTGTTTTTAAAATTGTGGTATAAATACAATATTTTACTTTTTCTTATAGTATTGGAACATAAAAAAAAAGATAAAGTATGATATCTAAGGAAACAATATATCATAAAATATTAAAATGATACACCAAATTATAAAAATATAATATAATAATTAATTTATTTATAATAAAATAAATGATAATGATATTTTATAGTTAGATTTATAAAATAAATATATATATGAAGTATTACAGGAGCATACGTTTTCTATTAATAGTCTTCATACATATACATGAATAATCAGAAAAAAAAAAAATCTATAAATGAATAAAAATTTATAATTCCCTAATATAGATACATTATGTAATATAATTATTACTCCAGTATGATATAAAATATTTACATGTATTCTTACTTTATGATGAGTAAAAAGAAAATAGATGTATATATATTACATAACTCAAATTATTATGAGATTTAAAGATTATATTACAGTAGCGAAAAATAAAAATCTATAAAAATATCTTGTCGAAAAAAATATATAAATTTATTTTGACTTAATAAATTTTTTTCATTTAATTTTTATATATAATTCGTTATATATATATTTCTGATATTGCATTTACATAAGATAGTATATTATTATAAAATTGAATTAAAAGATAATATATTAACGTAAAAACTTTAAGAAATAATTACAAACATTTGAAAATATATATATTTATTTATTATAATTATCTGTATTTGTTAGAATAAGTTGTTCATTGTGAGTATTGTGGAGATTTAACATATTCGTACATCATTATAGACTATATCATTTTTCTTAAAGACGATTTTAAAATGTCACACTTATATATAATTTTATCTTTATTGTTAACCTAATATACTTGATTTGTAAAATATATATACAAACCACTAATATTACAACATAAGTATCACATATCCTTAGAAAGCTTCCTTAAAATTATTATATATGTATTGAATATATATCGTTATATAAATAGTGTGCTTTTAATAAATATTATTAAGAAATAAAATGATTATATATTTAAATCTATATATAATATAGTATTATACTTATTATTGAATAAAAAAACATAGTATCATTACAATTAAATGTATTTTATTGGATAATTTAAAAAATGTAACATTATTATTTTGTTTTCAATAATGAGCATACGCTAATTTTCTTATTTCATTTAAGCATTATTAAAACATTTCTTTGTAGTAGATAATTTTATTTAGGAATAATTTTTTCATGCATTTATTTTCATTATTCAATTTTCTCTAATTATAGTATAATTGAATTTAGTGGTATGTATCTGTTTTTTATTAAATACTAATGTATTCCTCATATAATATGTTTTTTTCAAAATATAATTAATCAATGAACAATTTTTTTCTTTTTATATTTTTTATATATTTTATATTTGTATATTTCATATAGTGTTGTAATATATGCATTTTAATAATATTTCTGCTCTAATTTCTTATTATTTATTATATTTTCATTTAAGGTTTTGCTCATATATATAATAATCTATTATTGTCTATAAAAATAGCACATTGAAATAATTGTTAACATAGGAAATTTTTATATATTTTTATTAACTAATTAATTCTAATATATAACAGTGTTTAAAGCGTATTTATTGACTATTAATTTCTTCAACGTTTCGATAATATCTATAATTGTTTTTCCTTATCTAGTAATGTTCTGAAATTTTTATTTCATCTGTTGTCCGAAAGAAAAAAAATAATAGTATACCTCTATATTATTAAATCATTACGTTAATATATTTTATGTTGAATAGTTAATTTTTTTTTCTTTCTAAGAAAATAAAATCTCTTAATTTTATTATATTTATACTATAGAATCTATGTTATATTTATTAATGATCATGATATTTTTATTAGTAGTCTAAGGATTTATATGATATTAGATAATTTATATCAGTTAAATTTTTGTATTTTTCTTCAGATGAATCAATTAAAATAGGTAGTTCATTATTTTTTCCATTCCATATATTCATTAACTTTAGTATGCGCGGTTTTACATATGAACCATAAGGTATATACTGATAACAGAGAAATAATATTACATTTATATGAGTAGATCATATGTTTGATGCAAAATATTCCAAAACATGTATAGTATAGCACATATATAATATGAATTTATAAACTAAATTTATAATTAACTTTGTATAAAACGAATATAATTATTAATATTGTGAAAGTTAAAATAGATACAATTAAAATAACCTTACGAATATCTCTCCTGTCAGCTTGATGTAATATTTTTGTATTTACAGAGCATGCATTTTCATCTTTTGTACTTTTCATATTATCTACTTTAAATTTTCTGAGTACATCACAATAACTAGAATTATTATTTGCTTGACAAATTTCATAAAATTTCATATATTTTTTAAAGTATGTTCTATCCTTGGGGCATTTATGACTATCAATTTCAAAATTTTTTAGATTATTATATAGCCAATATAGGTTTTGAAATTTAGAAAATGTATCATGATCAAGATTATCAACATATGTTTTACATTTATCAAATTCATATTTATCATATGCCTCGTATAAAGTTATCATTTTATTGTAACAACTTTTTTCTTCCTCGCAAGTAGGAGTATAATTAACTAATACATATTTTAACATGTAGTTGAAATATTTACAGTTTCTTTCTATACTATCGACCTTTTTACTTTTAATATTATTTAAATAACAACTAAGTTCTTGACAAGTCCACGGAAATGTATAATCTGTAATTCCAAGTGATTGTCCCATAACACTGCACACAGGACCAAAAGGATTGTTAAAAGAAACGAAACTACAGCTATTTTTAGCTTCGTCATACTCTTGTTTGCATGTGGGAAATATATCGGTAAAATCATACTAAAAATGAAAGCCATGAAGTATTTAAAATTTTTAAATATTTTTAAGAAAACATTTTCTACTCGTTCCTCACAAAAAATGATATTATAAATTTAAGTAATACAAATATTAAAAAGAAAAAATTTATATACATCACTGTTGTTTATTTTAGTGGCAACCATTGTGTTTTAAGCATGATAACTAAAGAGAAAACCTTTTATCTATTTTATAATGAAATTTTTTTATGCTAAAGACATTCGAATACATATTAAAATGATGTCATATATATTATTTTATATAACATTTTAAATCTTAGAATTCTTTTTATAATTTATATTCTTATCGTTTTATAAAGTTATATTAATATACGACAATATTTTTCGTTTGGAATAAGGATACAGTTTTTTCATGTAACACCTAGTTTGAGAAATATATTTATAATATTGTAATTATAAAAAAATATTAAAAAACGAATAATAATTTTATAATATTATTATAAAAATAAACTACTATAATAAAATAATTATTATATATATGAAAAAAAGGGAATATATTTACTTATATTCTATTAAATTATATTAGTATATTTATTATTTCGTATAAATGACTTTTAAAAATTACGTATAAATGAACCTTGCCATAAATGTTTATGCATTTAATTTATAGAATAAAAATCTTTCTATTTATATATAAAATATGATAAATGATTAATCAAAGGAATTATTGTAAATTACGTTGATATTATTTAATATAGATGCAATATATATAAAACTACTTTATTACTATATAACATATAGTATTATTAATTTATTGTATTATGTAGTATAATTAAATTCAAAGGAAAATTGTACATATATATTAGTTTGTTATTTGCATATATGAATGCTTAATACATATTATTAAGAAAACATATATACTACATGAGTGTTTAAGCAATAAAATTGCCATATGTATATATATGCAATATAAAAGTTATATTTATATATTATATATGTTATGCTTATCTACCATTTCATAATTGTTCTATTTTAACTTTTTTTTCGTTACATACTAAATTGCCTTAATAAAATGATAAGTAGGTTGTAATAAATAATTTATTTTAGGATACAACGAAGTGATTTATCTTTTTTATTAGCAATTACTTATGATATAATTACATTTTAAAAGAATGATTATATTCCATATTTATGTAACTATATTTTTTTTTACAGTTATTTAATTTAAGATTATATTCACCAAATATTGTAAAGTTTTTCCTTCTAGTGTATAATAAAATAATAATTAAGACATCTATTTTCCGTTGAATAAATAAATGGAAACAATAATAATGCAAAATATATTATTATTACTACCTTTTCTGCGTTATATTGTGTATTTTTAAAAAATATTTATTTCAAAAAAAACATAAATTCATCATTAAAAACAGATTCTGCATTATATATGTATATATAAATGAAATAAATATATCATACAGCTTAATAACTTAATTAAATATATTTTATATTCATTAATATAATATTATTGAATCATGAAATTATTCTTTATGTTAATCTAGAAAATAATAATTTTTGTTCTCATTTCCTAAGAACTTAGAGATTCTTAAATTTTATGATAAATAAAAATTATAATTTTTTCAACTAAATAACTATTATTTGATAAAAAAATTTTGATACTTATTACAGAAAGCATTATTTGTAGATTTCTGAATTTATTAATTACCTGTTAAACACTGGGTTTATAATTATTATATAATGAAATAATTATTTTTTAGAATTATATGTTTTACGATTAAATATTAATTAAAATATAAGATGCAAAAAAAATTTAAATTAATCTGTTATAAAATAGCTTGTGTATCGTGTATAAAAATATATGTCTAAATATCATTTCTTTTTCTTCGTGAGAGTAATTAAAGCACAAAATATAAAACATAAACACATGTATATAAAATGATATTTTATTTTATGAAATAATATTTAATAAGAGCAAATTAAAGAAATTCATATATTAGTAAATGAAAAAGAATGTATGTGAATGTAAAAACCTCAGATAATAATATATTAATGAGAGAAAAAATTAAAGTAAATTTCTTGAAATATATACACTAAATAATATAATTATTGGAACCATATATTTTGCGGAGTTATTAATATACTTTTTACATTAAAAATTCTATACTGCGTTAATCAGTTTATGTCAGTTTAGGATTTTTAAAAAAATGAGAACAGTAAATATTTAAATTTTTAATTGTAAAACATCGAAAACATGTTAATAGATGTTTCACATTTCGCCAAATGCATTATAAATTATATTTTTTATTGGTTTCCTTTCAATAAAGTATATTATTGAGTAAACTAAAAAATAAAAAAAATATGTATGCTAATAAAATTTTTTTTTATTAATCCAAATGCAAATGTTTATAAATTTTATATAGTAACTTACAGAAGGAATCTAATATAAAAAAATTTATATATTAATATATATAATCACAAAAATTTTGCATATAAATAATTCATTTAATAAGAATTAATAAATATTCATACATAATAATGTAAAAATACATTAATTTGTGCATCTATAATATTAATTATTATTTTATTGTATTTATCTTTCTTATGTCAATGGCATCTTTTAAAATATTATAATTTAATTTTTTTTTTAATACATTTTGATGCTATAAGATTTTTCCATATTTTCATTCAAAACATTATTATGCATAAATATTTCTAATATAAAAGATTTATGTTATATTTTTTTGTAAAGAATTTCACAATATTTTTCAAATTTCATGAAAATATATTTTCCTATATAACTACCTAATGAGAAATATAATGTTTTTTTTTATTTTTATTTTATTATTAATAATGTTCCATGTATTTTAAACTAAATCATTTTTATTCTGTAGAATACAGCTTACGAGAAAACATTAATGCTTCCATAAAATGTCTTTAATATTAACATTTACTTATAAAATTCTATGTATTCATTTGCATGTTCTTGGTAGTTCATATACTCGATATTCTATAATTTCTTATCATTTTTCTTGAATAATATTGTTATTTGTGAAAATTATGATATAACATTTTTAATATATTATGAAAATATGTCATAATAACACTTTACTCTGAGAATATCTACTATATGTATTATATCATATGTTATATTTATATGGCATGAAAAAAACGTTATCGATGTAGTAGTATAAGTTGTATAAAAATTAGTATGGTATTCCCTTTTTTGATGAACTAATCTGATTTTAACATTGAATGCTACGGTGATACCAAACAGCCTATGTAACATTCATATTGTTCTCCACGTTGGTTCAATGAATATATTCCTTCAACTTGAACATTTTGTTTGAAGGTTAATAATTTAAGTTATTCCATAAAAATAAAAAAAATTATTTCACGTTTCTCCTTTAAGCAGAAAATTTTACTCTTATAATGAATAAAAATAAGGTACTAATTTATTTATCATACATATTCTCGAAGTGCTATATGTCTTATATTTAAATTTGTAATTTAATAAGTACTGTTATCTTAGCTTAGAGACTTTTATTAGGAATAATATAATGAATATATTCAAACAAAACGCTTTCTTTATTATTAACACATATTTTTTATTATTATTATAGAAATTTAATGTATTTCCTATCGAATGATTATTATTATTTGTCTTCTTGCTAAATAACTATATAGAGAATTTCCCAACTAAATGAAAAATTACGCTTAATTTATTAACTTTTTGAAATACGAAGCCTATTATGTAATTAAGTCTTCTGCTATATTTTTTACAACCAATATCATTCCTTATATATTTATATATACATATGTGGCCTTTCTCTTATATTTTCATAATATCTTAATCCATCCATACTACATTAATTTTTTATAATAAGACTTAAATTATTTCAGAATAATAATTTTCATTTAATTTCGTCACTGATGCCCTTTTATAAAGACTACACCAAATATCAATAATGATGTACAAGAAATGTAGTAACAAGAAGCACACATAAAAAGTTATAAGAACGCTTTAATAAGAAAAAAAAATTATATTTTTAATTGTAAGTATGAATTGTTTGGTCCTTAGTTATAAACAAATATGTAAAGAAAATGTAGAAAAAAAATCACAAAAGGTGATATTGAACCTACATTTCTTAATGCTTTAGATTCTATGAAAATTAATAAAAAATGTGGAAGTTTTGAATAGCTTAGAATTTATTGATAAAACAATATCTAAAAATGAATGTTGTCAAATAATTAAATCACATGCATTTATTGATAGAGAAATACAAGATATTTTCCTTTCATTTTTTATAATAAAAACACATTGAATAAAATCTATATTTATTCTTTTGTTATATTAAATTTTATATAATAATTTTTTTTTTTCTTGCCTTCATGTAAATTATTTTTTTTATAAATTCATTTGTATGTAAATTTTTTACTATTATATTCTTGATTCATTACTTTTTATAATTATTGTGTGTAGATTTAAAAAAATAAAATAATCTAAAATTACATTATCTTATATATTTTGTTTTTAATGAGGTGTTTTTTGTAAGCTTCATTGACAAAAGCAAATATCTGTCTTTCATTATATTCATGGTTATGATACTTTCATTATATATTATAATGGATTTATTTAATTTTTATATTACAAGATATAACCAATAGATTCTATAATTTATAAATTATTTTTACTATGAGTTTATATTTATGAGTACCTATTTATTTCTATTCTAATGTATATAACATATTTACATTTTTTAAGCATATAATTACAAGAGATTGAGTTAGAAATCAAATGCAAGCATATATTGTAAAATACTCTAATAGTATTGTCATTACTATATTATAAGAAATTATTTTATATATTTTTTAATGAATGTATTTTTTCAAAATAATATAATAATTCTGCTATATGCATTCGTTGTGTATAATTTTTTTAAATTTATTTTTCGTACTATTGATGAAATTTATTAAGGTATATCCATGAAATTCATCGTGTAAAATAGGAATACGCTATATATCTTTATGATTTAAGTTCCTAAAATGTTATTCTTAATCATTATAACGAATTATATGCTATATTTATTTTATAATTTTATTGGCATATATATGAACATAAAACAATGCAAAAATATTACTCATACTTTAATAGTACTTAAGGCAAAAAATATTATATATATGAAAATACAATAATCTATTTATTTTAATTATTTTTGTAGAATAATGTAAAACTTGTGAAGAATTATGTAATTCCACTTATTACAACAAGATATGCTATTTATGTAAGTAATAATTTTACTTGCGAAATATTTTATGTACAAAATATGTATAAAGTAACTATTATCACCCTTAATATAATAAATGAGTAAATTTACTAAATGTTAAAAAAAATATAATGTTCTTATTAAGGCTTTAAAAGAAAAAATGTATATTTATTTTTGTTTTATCACTATAAGTGTTAAAATTCGAATTAGAATCTAATAGTAAAATTCATAGAAATAAATGTATGAGAAAACACTTTGTTTAGTATATATAAAATAAATTATGTAAATATTCTATTGTTAATATTATATCATGGATTATACAGTTTATAAATATACAGAAAAATCATATATTTATTGATAACATGAATTAATAGTGAATTTTATACATATTATGGATTTACAACTTTTCCTTAATAAAGAAAAAAATAATTAAGATATAATAAGAATTCTGTATTATTTATGTAAGATTCAAGGATATTTATTTATTCATATTATTGCCGTATTGATAAGAAAATCAGTGAGTAATAATTAATATCTTTACTATATGAATAAAACATAATAAATAAAAGAGTATATGTTAAAAGAATAAATGAAAAATATATAAAATATATTAAAATATACATATTTTAGTGTACTAAATTATTACAACCGAGGATTAATATTTAATATGTATCATTCACATCATATATTAATCTATTTGTTATGGTATACATTACATATAATTAGTAAATTCCTGATTACGTAAAAAACACAATTATTAGTATTCTATAATTATATAATTATAGAACATCATTTATGTATATTATAAACTTTATCAAATGTAAGAACTTATAAATGTTACAAGAAAGGAAATTTACATTTTATATGTTGTTACACTCAGGCGAAAAAACCAAATTAATATGCAATTGCAAAGTTATCAATAATTAATGTTTAAAATATAAAAATATTATACATTAAAAAAAACTGTTTACAAAATATATATAGATGACATATAACATTAAAGAAATAATATTTAGATTTTAAATTTATTTATAGAAATATTTTACAGAGCTACTATATGCCGTTATATATAGAGTAATTGTTAAAAGAATGTATACTATAAAATAATAATAATATAATAATACAAAAAAAGATTATTTAGTTTCATAATATTTATATCAATTTATATTCTAATATAAGAAATAATACAATAAAGATTCTGTTTACTCGGATTTATACATAACATAATTATATGAAGGAGAAAAATATAAATCTCGGATGATTCTATATAATAACATTAACAAGAAAAAATTCTCACATAATTTTCAATTTCATTAAATTATATTTTATTATATAATATTATTCATTTATATAATTATTATATTTAATTTTGTCACGCACTTATACTATGATCATTTGAATTAATACTATTTTTCACAGATTTTCAATTCATTATATTCATGAATATAACTATAAATTATTAAAATATATCACACTTTTAATGAGACTAAAGTATATAAATTATATCATACAGAATTTTATATTTCATATAATTTATATATTTAGTTAAAAAAATATTGTTTATTTCATTCAGTTATTAAATATCAAAAGATAATATATCCTATGGCAGACAAAAACATTGTACATTTATATTATTTTATTGTATGCTTATAATAATATTTCAAATATAATTTGTTATTATTATTTTTTTTTTACATAATATATATCATTCACTCACACACTAATAAAATCACGTGCATATTATCATGATTTTACACTTTTTAGTATAAATATGTAAACTCTTTTGATGAACATAGGCAGAAATTGGAGAGCTATAAAGAGGATTCTGCAGAAAGTTTTCTCGGAAAATCCACATGTGATGCTTTTAAAGATGATGTTCCTGGAATTGAAAGCAATGATTTTTTAAACATATGTCACAAGGGTACATATTATTTATATACACAATATAAAACTAACTATGATATTATAACTGATATTGCTTGTGTATATCTTTATTTTTGGATATATCATTATATTCTTAAAGAAAAAGCTATAGACATTAAAAAAATGGTTTATATTAATTTGATGGATGCATCTGGTGCTACAAATATGGATACATACCAATTTTATGGAAAATATGTTACTGAGGATATATTGAAAAAAATGAAAGATTTGTATGATATGTATTCTAATCTTAATAACTTAGAGGATAACTGTTCTAGTGATAGTGAATTCAATTTTTTAAACGATTGTGCTTCTTCATATATGTGTTACCAGGAAATATGTAAATCCAACAAAGATCCTGATTTTTGTTATGCATTAGAAGACTTTACAAATCTCTATAATGCAAAATTAAAATAGTGACAGGTGCTAAAATAGAATATCAAATATTACCTTCTTTTCGAAAACGTAAAATATATGTTTTTATTATAATTCCAATTGTTCTACTATTAATAATATCCCTTTCTTTATTTTATGTGTCCAAGGTTAATTATGATTTTGTTTATGTATATATATGCTATAATAATATTTTTGTAATAACTTATAAAATGTATATTTTTCATAAAATTCTATATTATAAATATTTATTATTATGAATTAGTTTACTAAACATGACTCATGGATACGCCTTTTAATCAAAAGAATAAAAAATAAATTCAACAGTATTGATGAAGTGTGGGATTCATTGCAAACATATGAAGTATCTAGCAATATTTCAAGAAATATGAGATGTAATATATTATATAATACTGAATAATTTTACAATTAAATAAACAATTAGAAGAATTTGTTTTATTTAATCTACATGTATAGAGTTGTATGAATATGCATGAAGAATATATTACATAATAACATTATATTAAGAATAAATTGTTCTTATAAAAACTTATAAAATAGAATAAATATTAATATTTTAATTTAGAATTATAATGTTTCATAAAGAAATCTATTTATGTTCAAGTATTAATTATCTTATGTGTAAATTGTGAATAAAAGAAGTATGAATATGCTACGTGATTCCTTGCTTTAATATACTATTGTTTGCATGAAGAATATTTTTTAAAAAATAAATTAGTATATTACAAATAAAATAATAATATACAATATAATATAGAATATCCATATTAAAGCTTGTGATAATAACTAAATACGATAAATACAAAAATATATATATATACAGTTTTTTTTTATCATGTGGTACTGTTGAAAAGTGTATAATATGTTTGTATATACATAAATAATTAATTTACATTTTACTGTTTTTTATAACTCAAATAATATGTTTTAGCATGAAATATTCTATTCCCCCATTATTTATATATTAATAAGTGAATTTTTATTACATAAAAGTTTTATTATTATATAAAAATATATCTATGACATTTAATTAATTTTTTTGGTTTTTTATTTTAAATGATACATAATAAATGTACTCATATAACATATCCATTAAATTAAACTTTCAGAATAATTTTAAATCACATAATTCTTGTAACTATGACATATAGTATATATGATCTAGGACGTATCTTTTATTTTTATATTATTTGTACAAAATTATATATAGTGTCATATGCATATTAATATAATACAAGAATTTATATGTTATAACAAATATACGATGATTTAGATTTTATTCATAATTTTTAAACTTTTACAAAAGTAATATATTATATATACAACATCAATATAGTGTGTATATTATACCTTGTAAATTGGAACTATCTAAACATTCAATATGGTTAAATTTTTCATAGAAAAAAACAATATGCTCAGTGAAAAATACGTCTATATTATTGTAAAGGTTTTATAATATAATAATTTACAATATTATTTTTATAATTATTAATGATTTAAAATGATACTTTTTCTAATATCTACAGAAAATATATATTTATTAAAATTCACAGAAAATATTAAATTATAAGTGTTCACTGTATATTATTTGTGCAATCTTTCTGTTCAATATAAAATTTATTCACAAATATAGCTTTTGAAAGAGAAATGAGATGAATCCTAATATGTTTAATACTTCTTTTTCTGGGAATAATATAGGTTTTAACGTGGAATTACAAACAAGATTAGTATTTTCACATATATTTGCTCTATTTATAATAGTATATAATCTTTCATATAAGTCAGATATATGATATTTAGAACATCTTTACATGGAAGTAAAAATACTATATTTTAAAATTATTAAATAAAATCATGTGTAGTGTATAATGCTTATCTAATATTTCCATTTAATACTTAATAAATCAAAATTCTTATTATCTCACACAATGTTGCACATGCTGCGTTATAAATATTGGAACATTTTTCATGCTTTTTGCGTTTTATATTGCCGTTTTACCATAAAATGAGCAATATTAAATATATACTTCTATAAATTAATTTACAAATATATTATTTACCACTAATTTGAAATTATTATAAATATATTTTAAAAGATTTTCCAAAAAATTAAATAGTAAATAAATCAAATTTCTATATTTTTTAAAGGAAATTATTAATTAAAAAATTAACACATTAAATAATCAAATAAAGAAAATTTATACACACATATATAGTTTTTATTATAATGAAATTTTTTCAAAATTTTTTTTTTTAATTTATAGTTAACAATATATATTTATTAGAATAATGAACCATATGTTATTCGATGCACTTCTTCAGAAAATATTTTGTATTCTCCTTGATGTATATTTATTATATTCGTGCTTTCATTATTTTTTTTGCTCCATACGCTCCTTAATTTTCTAATACATACTTGTAAATATATAAAAAAAGGTGTATACTAAAAATAAAATGTCATTATATTATTTTTATTAATGTGAAATTTATTTTGTATACATTTTTTATAATAATATATAACGTAAAATGTGATATAATTACATTAAATAAGTTCCTTTATTTTTTTTAACTTTATGTAGGATAAATGCAATTATCAATATTGTAAAAGTTGTAATAAACGAAGCTAATACAACTATTCTTGGTCTTTTCCTACTAGAATTATGTAAAAACGTATTAAATTTAGGACATACTGTTATATCTTTCTCAATTACATTATTATTTAATTTAAAATCTTCTAACAACACACGAAAAGATTCATTATCACTTTGTTCACATATTCTTGAGAGTCTACTATATGTACTCAAAATTATGCTTCCAAATAAAGACATATCTTTATTTTGTTCAAAATTTTCCAGTTCGCCATATAAGTCATTCAGATAAACCAATACATAAAATGTACCTTCATCAAGATTTTCAATATATTCCTCGCATTTATCAAATTCAAGATTTTTACGTACTTTGAAAGAATTTACAATTTTTTTATAACATTCCTTTTCAGAATTGCAATAAGGTTTTAATTTTTTTAGTTCATCCTTTATCTTATAATTGAGATATTTACAACTTCTTTTTATATCAGTTTCATCTGATTTATTTTTTATATGATTTAAATAGTTACTAAGTTTTGAGCAAAAATTAATATAATAATAATCTTTAATTCCTTCTTCTCTACTTATATTACTGCATTCACTATAAAATGCATTATTGTCAACAACTGTAGCAGCTATATATTCTGTTCTACATTTCGGAAATATACCTGTAAAATCAAACTATAAATGGAAGCTAAAAATCATTAGAATACTAAATATAACATATAGAAAATATTTTCTGCTTGTTTTACGCAAGTAACTATATTTTAAAATAAAGTAGAATAATTATAATAATAAATTGAAATATACATCCTTCTTCACAGATGAAATATGAGTCATGTTTTATACACAAGAACAAGAAAATTATAATTTATTATATTTTTTAAAAATGTGTTAAAAATATAGAAATAAATAATATATAGAGCATATTTATTAATATTTTTCATATTTCTGATCAATAATTTTTTTTTAATTTGTATTGAGCATTTATTAAATCATATTAGTTAGATTGAATGACACGATAAAAATATATATATATTTAAATTAATATTAATAAAAATATACTTAAACCCTTGGAATTACCCACTTATTTAAGTAAATATAACTAATATTGATACATTTTCTTCTTATAGCAAATTAATGATTAGCCATAAAATATAAAAAAAAAAAATGAAACATACTATTCAGTTAATAATTTTTTCTAATAGTTTCATTCATATGCTGATAATTACTTTTAATATAGAATAATAATTCACAGAGCTACTATAAATATATATATGTGTTATTCTCATGAATTTTTGTTTCTTCTAAATTTTACATTTAATACGTATTATATAACTTAAAATATTTTTTTCATAACGTTTATTCTTCATGTATATCACCAATTTAATGTTTATGATCTACAATAAAAAATAGTTATTATGATAAAATTAATACATAAAATTTACTATAATATTTAATTAAAAAAATTATAATTCCTTCTAATATGCAATGTTAAATTTTTAAAAATTATCTAATAAATTCCTTTAAATAATGTACCTGGAGTTATATATCTCTCTATAATATTCGATAAAGTGTATATAATATAATTTAGTGGCTTCATATAATGATGTGTCTGTAAATTTCATGATAAATGTTGTTGTTATATATATATTATTTAAAATAAATTTATTCAAAAAAATATTTAATCAGAATAAAGAATAATGAAAAAAAATAATTGTGTTCATAAGGTCTATACATAACTTTTATTCTTATAACGAAAAATATAAAAAAAAATACATTAACATAATATATAGCATATAATTTAATACTTAGAAACTTATTAATAATTTATTTTAAATTTACCTTATATGATACAATATTTTCTATGCTACTATACATATACTTTTTAAAATATTCCTTTTTTATGTTACTAATCATTATTCTATGAAGGAATATAATTGTTTCACGTGATTACATAAATTTAATAGGAAAAGGTAAATATATATTACTGATTTTTTTATATGTTAACATATGTGCACATTTTTTACATCATTCTATACTTTACAGGTACATATATAAAATTATGTTATTATAGATTTATTTATTAAAAAAAAAATGCACCTTATTAAATATAACTTTGAAAATTAAAAAACATAATGTTAATTCAACTATTTTCATTCATTTTTTATATATATTTTATTCATATATCATTAATAGAAAATGGAAAACTAAATTTTTTTATGAAATGAAATAATTAATTAAAAATTTTTATTAAAATAATTTAATGCTTAATTTAATGTTTAATATATAGTATATAATGTACCATATTCATATTTATGAAAACAGAACTAATCATTAAATATACGAAATGTGAAATATATTTTCTCATAAATCTTTCGTGTACTATGTAAATTAATATTTTTTTTACATTATTATATAAATAGACAATTACAAATATTTAATGAATACGTTAACGTTATTGAATCAGCGCATACATTATATTGTATTTCATAATTAATATCACTTCTCATACAAATATATAAATAAATATTTATTTAAAATTTTATTTCTATAAATGTATATATCATGAATCCCACTAAGACAATAAAACTTAATAAATGCACTATTTATATTAATTGCATATTAGAATCCTATTAATGTATACAATGTTTCAATATGGCAAAATTTTGAAATGAATTATATTATTATTTTATTTAAAAAAATGTTTATAAATATGTAACAAAATAAAATTATACAAACTATAAAAAAATGAATTTTGAATGAAGTCTTATTCAGCTATGAAACCGTTTATTTATGTATAATTATGAGGCTTCTTTCATGAATTTTTAAAATTAATTTCGATTCATATTCTTGTAACTTTATCAATGAGAACAGACGTATTTTATTCATATAAAAAAGATTTATAATTAATAACAAATATACTATTTTTAAAAGGCCTTATTCTTTACTTATATAAATAGATAAGTAAATTATTTTTTTCGTGTATCTTATTTTAGATATATTATTATTATTTAACTGAAGGTTTATTATAATAGTATATTATTTATTGAATCTAGGATGATAATTTTTTTAATTTGGAAAAAGTTTTTTTGACTTTCTTTTCTTATGTATCCACGAGCATACAACATAAAAGGAAAATTTGAAGAAATGCATTTTCAGTTAATGTTATGCATAGGATGAGCATTCATATGTTTATGTAACATGTATTAATTAATGAAAAATAATAAAATATTTATTAAAATATAATTTTTAAAATACCATACAAAAGGTATAAAAAATCTAAATTAACACAATCATTGTACTTAAAAACATGTGAATAATATAGGATATATTTGTTATTTTTTGAATCTATGTGATATATGGTAAAATCTTAATCGTTATGTAGCGTATTTTTTGTCTATTATATATTTTCATTTTTATATATTTTTAACCTATTTTTGTATTTAAGGACATATAATTTATTATTCCTTACTCAAAAAACCATATTTACTAATGCAAAATTCCAATAAATCTATGATTTTTTTTATAAATATTTTTATGTTCACATAGTTTTTTGTGGAAACTGTAAATAAATTCTTCGAAGCATGTAATATATTTCTATATTTTTTATTTGGATTAAAATAATTCAAAATATATATAATATATATTAAAATTATTTATATCTATAAATTTAATATATGTGTCTTTTTAGATTTATTAATATTTTGAGTGATAAATTGAAAACATATATAATATTTTTCTATTTTCCATAATATAACAAATTAGACAGTAGTATGTATAAAATAAAACCAGTTCCATATTTTCGTTTTGCTATATGCTCATAGAATGAAATGTACTTCAAATAAATATAATTCAACAATATGTTTTAATATATATAAAATTTAGGAAACAGAACTCCAAAAAAAAATTCCTAGTTGTAAAACACTATTATAATTTAATAGAATAAGAAATAATTAGTGCACATGTTATAATAATTAAATGTATATATTTGAAGGACATTCAACACACAATTATTGCTATATAGGCACGAAAGATAATTAATTATTTTTTTGTAAATTATCGAAGTTTTATATATATCCTTACACAAATTGAGTTTTAAAAAATAATTACTAAATATGTGGGATTATATTAATATTTGTTAAAATTGTATATATTATTAAAATTAATATAGAAACCCATAAATATTATCAGTCATACTAAGTTCAAGATCAATGTCCAGTAAAAAAATGAACCATACAATTTTTATCCTAATAATACCAATAAAAATAATTCAACAAAAGGGGAAATTTAGAATTTGTGCAATGGGATTTCTTGGCCCTAATAAGCCAAGAACCCTTAATGAAAAAAATCAACTAGATAAAAAATAAATGTATTTTCTCAATTAATGTTTTTTTTTTAAAATGTACCATCATCAATTACTATGTTATATTCATTACATTATAGGAAAATAACTATTTTGAATTATTTTTTTTAAAATGAGTATCGACTTTATAAAAATGTTTACTATATTTTAATTGTAGTGTATAAAGAATAAACTTTTTTTTAATTTAAATAATATAGTATTCTGGTTTACCTATTCAATGTAATTTACATTCCATTATTTAATATTTTCCATATTTCGGTAACACATTTTCTTTTTAATATATTTATTGAAATGCTTTAAATATAATAATAAATGGTTATATTTTGTACCTTATTTAGAAAGCAAGCTATAATTTATTAGGAAAAAAAAAAAAAAAAGCATTCCCTAATTTTTCATTTACACGCATTCTGCTTCAATTATGTACTAAAAGTAAAAAAATAAGATATAGTATACATGTATAGTTAGATAATTTCTAAGAAAATGTTATTTAAAAAAATAGAAATTTCGTGATATATAATACTCAGAAAACATGTTCATTATAATAAAATAGAGAAAATTATAGAATATTTACATTAATAAATAAATGTTATAAAAAAATTAGAAAAATAATAATTCTATAGTTTCAGACATGATATTTTTATGATTCTATAATTATAAAAAGAAAGGAAACTAAATTTTATCATTCTATGGCATTACCATGTACATTAAAGTTTTCTAGATTATTTGTATTTTTTTATTTCTTCTTATTATGTTTTTCTTGCAATAACAATATTTATGTATTTACTTATAACTCATTTAATTGTATATGAAAATTATATGTCATTTTAAATATATATCAAAAAAAAAAAAAAAATTGTATGGATATTATTAAAAAAAAAAAAATAAAAAATATATATTTGATCTAATTGTGTGATGATAATGGATAAAAATATGTAAAATAAATATTTCATAGTAAATAAACAAAGAATACATAAAATATTATGACAATTTATATGTATCATTAATGTACATGCAATATATTACGTTACATAGAAGCGTCTTAAAAATTAATTAACCTGCAATTAATAAATGCTTAATACATGTAAAAAATTGGATAAAATATATAATATATACATATATATATATAATTATAAAAATAAATAACTTCGCTAATAAAATATGATTTTAATAGATTTAATATAATAAAAATTGATAAATATTTTTTGAAAATTTAGATGTGCTTCATATTAATAAAAAAAAATCCATGTTATAAAGTAATAATATAATTTATTTTCAAATGAAGTAGACGTAAAATTATATAAATAAAGAACATAAATATAAAAACAGACTGAAAAACGTATACAATAAACCTCATACATAAATACTCATAAGAGAAAACTCTGAATATCATTATGTAAGCTCATAACAACACAAACTTAAAACTTTATTATTCATAGCAATATTGACAGTTACACATATATATATTATTTCATATATGTACTTTAAAAAAAATATATCGTGAAAATATGAAGGATTAGTTATATAAATTTAATACAAAATATAATATATTTATTGTTAGAATTATATTAGGAATAATTATAAGATGAATGAACAAATTAAAATGTATATTCTTTATAAAAATTCAATGATATATAAAACATATTTTTATTAGATTAATATGAAATTAATTATTTTTATTAAAATTATAAAATGTAATAAAAACTATCGATTATATAAAATAATTTAAAATGCTTCGTAATTTATAAATAAAGGGCTGATTTTTCAAAAAGTAGCTTGAAGTATAATTAATCTCGTATATATTTTTACGATGTATTGTGTGAAATTCTTATATGATATGCACTTTTGTATAACCCATTTGCAGTTTTAAATATATAGTTTATATAATATGTGAAATAAATAATATGTTATGCATTATAATGCACATCTAAATAGAAATATTAATATCTTTGTTCATTCTTGTATATGTAATGACATATATATAGCATATATAATATATTTCCACATTATAAGTATTTCCTCTGGGAATAATAAGAAAATATATATTTTTAATTTATATAATACACAAAAAATGTAAAAACGAGAATAATAAATAACAAAATGTATTTTTATGTTGAATAATAATATTAATTAAAAAGAAAATTAGAATTTTATTTTCTTAAAGTTATTGTTTTACCATTGTCATGTCACTATATCATTAATCTATAATATTGTATAATTGATTAAGTGGGAGTTCATTAAAAAAACAAAAATAATATGAGAATAATAAAAAACGAATTTTTATGCATTCTTCATTGTATTTATGTATTTTTTTAAACAATATACTATCATTTATATAAAATGAACATTCACTCCATATATATATATAACTAAAATAAAATAAATGCACATAAAAAACTATATACAATATTAATTTATATTGCATCTTAAGCTCGTAAAAAATTATTTGTAATATTATATGATCAATAGATATAATTTCTTACTTTAGAAATAGTTCAAATAAACTACTATAATTCACTTTATTGCTGTTATATGACATATTATATAAGTATAATGAAATTAGCAACCCAAAATCCTAATCATTTTTCATATTAATATTGTGCATTTTTTTCCTTATACTATATTTACTGCAAAAAAGAAATCAAAATTGCAATTATTACTATATCTTTGCTTTATACTAAATTTATTAACAATATCATGTCACCTTGTAAAGCAGGATATTTTAAAAAATATAAATTAAAATAAAATATCCTTTTTTTTCTATATAATAAATTTGCATTTTTCACTTTTAACTTATAATAAATAAATAAATTTTTTTTTATTGCAAATTATTAACTCAAAATTTAAAATACACATAAATTGAAGATTAAGACAATGATATTATAATATACTTTCTACAATTATAAGAAATCTAAACATTAAATGCTTTGATATTTTTTTTCTTTATTATTATAAATCAGTATTTTTATGTTCATAAATTTAATTATTTCATTATCCCATTTGCAAAGTAACACAACTATAATTATAATGGCAGATAAAATTGTACGTCTTAATAATTTTAATTCAAAATGAATACTGTAATGATTTATGTATTAATATATCATTAATGTAATCACATATATATTTATTACAATGTAATTTTGGCCACAATGCAATTTTTATTTCTTATTAGTATAGCAATGTAAATTTTTTCCCTGAATGTAATAAAATTATAAATGGATATTCATCCAAATGGATTGAAGATGATAATTGTGGAGAACAATTTTTTAATCGTGTTGGTATTGAAAAAGACAGTTTTCTCGAAAAAAATTGTGGCATTGCTTTGCTCTATTTAAGCGACATAGATTTATCAATTAGTAGTCATAAAATACCAAGAGAAGCCGGCTATACATATCTATATTATTGGGTGTATCATGTTGTTTTCAAAAGTAATTATAGTGAGGATATGAAAAAATTTTATAAAGCATTGATTGATGATCATTATAGAACTTATAAATCTATAATTTCCAAATATATCGCTGAAGATATTTCAAAAGTTAACTTAGAAAAACTCAAAATTCTATATGATGTGTATGCATGTCTTTATGATATAAAAGAAAATAACGGATATCAGAATGACTCAATTTTTTGTAGTTCATTAAAATATATTACAGAAATATATAATAAAGAAATGAACCATCAACTTCATAATATTAGTAATCCACATACATTAAACTCTCACAAAAGTAATATGGGAATTTATATTGTAATTCCTATTCTTGTAATATTATTAATTTCCCTCTTTACTCTTACTTTGTATAAGGTTAATTCTTGTATTATTTATATATATTTATATTATTTATTAAATATTCTCGATTCTATTATAAAAGTATGTATTTTTCATAAAAACATCAATTTTTTTTTGTACATGCATTTTTATTTTTGTGAATTAGTACAACATACATGGTTCACACTTGCTAGAAATAATAAAGAGGAAAATAAGTACATATAGTAATATAAATGAAAAAGGGAATAAGATAGGGGATTCCGAAATGTTCATAGGTATTCAAGGTGATAGTAGATATAATGTGTTATATAATTATGAATAAAATTACCATTAAATGTATAATTCATAGGATGTAACGCTTAATCGTCATATAAAAAGGCTTAGGAAAAAAAATAATGATAATTATCTTTTAACATTTTCATATTAAATCAAAAAAAACCTTATAGTATAATGAAGTATATATATATATTTTCCAATTTAATAAGGTAAAATTTCACTGTATAGGGTCTAGTAAATCTCAAAATATTGCCATATATGGTAGTAAATAATGAAATAAAATAATAAGAGTAAATAAAGTTATTCTCTTGTTTTATTATACATCAAATATTCTAAATAAGTTTCGAATATGTTTTTTAACAGCACAGTATTCATAAAGTAATAATGTGTTATATATGGTAATATTTTAATGTATGTGAAAATTACAAATTAAGATAATAAATAAATGGACGTGAACAAACTTATACAGTATGAATCTTTACATTCTGCTTCTTAAAATTATAAAAAATAATATTTCAGTTTATAAAATGTATATATTAATAATTAATTCTCAATTACAATTGCTTTTATGATTATTATAATTTATATTAATACAATTCATGTTCTATGACTCCCTATATATTATGTTAATATATAAAATTTTATTATATGTATACATATGGATATATAAGAGGACAATTTTTACAATATATCTGTTATTTTTACAATTTTTTTTTTATTCAGTATATTTACTTGTTTATTCCTTTTTATTTTATTTTTTTTGTTTAATTGTAAAAATCTTACTCATTTTTTTAAAACTGTAGTAAATGACAATTAAAATTAATTATCAATGAAAATAAATTGAAACAAAATAACAAAAATTCATTTATTCTATAAAATAGTATTGTATTATATAAGCTAAACACATAAACCGAGTAAATTATATATTCATCACATAATATATTATTATATCATAATTTTTTATTATTGAAAAATAAATCTAAAAGGATTAAAAAATACTTGGAATTTTATTTTATTTTACACCTGGATATTTTTAGTTTTATAATATATTATGGAATTATCATAACATTTTTTGTAATATATAAATGTACAAAAATGAAAAAACATATATTCATAGTATATTTATAAATTTAGCCAATAATGAAAAGACAAGCATAATATATATTAATGAATGAATATAGAAAAGGCATATATGTGTTTTATAAATATGAAAAAAAATAGAACAATTTTTTATGTAGCATGAAAGTATTTTTTAAATAAATATTTTTTGTTTCTTATTTTGATCTGGCTATAACATTGACATCCATTCATAATGATATAGTAATTAATATATTTAAATATAATGTTATATATATTTATTTAAAAAATAATTTTTAAACAAAAGTTTTAATAAAATTAATACACATTATAATGTTTTAATTTTTTTTTTTTATAAAAGGAAAAATACTTCTATACATCTATCTAAAGTTGATAAACTCATATTATATGTGACGTTCAATATATAACTATTTCAAACTGATGAAAAATTAGAAAAAATAATAGTAAATAAAAAATATAAAACATAATTATTACTAAAATCTACGTAAACACAATTAGAGAAAATACTGTACCTATATGTATATATATATAATAATTTAAAAAAAGGTATATATATTTGAGTATATATACATATATAATAATAATAATGACTATGCATAGAGAACACACTTCAGATATGGTTATAAGACTATGCTAAAATAGTTCTATATTCATTAAATCATATATCACTTATTACATTGTAAGGATTAAATTTGCATTAATGTTACATTTCATAATGAAATGAAAATATTTGAACATTCGTATATTCAAAAAGATTATTAATACTACCATTAAGATTGCTAATTCATTATTTTGTATATCCCGTGTATTTCAAGAAATTGAGAAAATGCGATGTCCTCCTCATATTGATATACATATGAATGAAATACATATTATTTTATTTAGAATATTACTTAATAGAAATTTTAATTTTCTTTTTCTGTAGAGTTTTCTGTTTCATAATATATTATATATATACATTTTTTTATAAAATATACATAATATATTAATAATTATGTGTGAAAAAATAATAATTACTCCTGATTACATATAAAATATGATTATCTATAACAGTATGGTTATATATTGAAGAATAGTTGTTATATTCTTTTGAATAAAATGTAATAAATTTCAAATATTTCTCTAATTTATTTTCATTATTTTAAAGCACTAAACATTCTATTAGTCAAATTAATTAAATAAAAGAGGAAAAAATAAAAAAATAAAGAATATTTAATACTAGCAATTGCCTAAAAAATAGAATTTTTATAGAATTATAATAAGAATCATACAAATTATTATTATTCATTGTGTGATATTTATTTTTTATTTACATATTATTATATAAAATATTAATTTCTATGATAAATTCAAGGGAAATATGAAATGAATATTGTATAAGATTGTCAAATATACTGCATGCTGGAATAACAATAATATATTTTATATAATTATTATTTTTTGCATATAAATGTAACACATATATCATGTATTATTTTGTTTTATATCTGTTGTTTTTGATAGAAAATATTGTACAAATATATATTTAATTCATATAATCTCCCTATAAGAAGCAACCAAAAATGTAGATATATAAAGTTAAAGATAATTTACATTTTAGTAATCATAAATAATTAAAATAAATTTAATATTTTCATAAATTATAATTTTATTTATGTACAGTTATTATTTTGCTAAAATATATTATTATCAACAATAAAAGTTATAATATATTAAAAATAATATAATGCCTGAAAAAATAATGTATTGCATTTAATGCTAATTTTTATATGAAATATATATATATATATATATGTTTGAAAATGATACTATAAATATTATACTGAAATATTATATTGTTAGACAATAAATATATGAGCAAAATATAAGTATGTCAAATAAAAATATACAAATATGTATAGTTCACTATTATGCTGGGTTATACACTTATATAAAATGTTATATAATATACAATCATACATGAATATATTTTGTATAACTAAAAATGTAACACAATTAATATTCAATAATTCAAGATAATGTTTACAAATAATTCTTCACCAAAAGCAATTAAATAATTAATTAAAACTCTATGAAATAAATCCATAAACCTAGAGAACTAATATGAATATATATACTATTAACGCTTTATTCTGAATTATTTCAAGATTATAAAAGTAATTATCCATTCAATATCATTTTATAAAAAAATATACATGTCACAGAGAACTAACAATTATGCCATAGTTTAATATAAAAAAATAATTATTGTAAATTGATTTTTTAAAAAAATAAAGTGTATAATATAAAAATTAGCTTATACATCACAAGTATAAAATATATTCTATTACTTTCAACATATAAATACTTATAATAAAAGATATAAAACTTTTCTATATTATTTGGCTTATATTAAACATAATGGTTGAATTCTTGGACGTGGATGAAGGCGTATATTTCTATTTGTTGCTATAATTATAATTTATTTTTTTTAATTTAAATATATAGAAATATGTAAAACTTAATAATATACGTTTCCCTTAAGTATTATTTTAGATTTTATTATATATTGTGAAATTTATTCTTTAGTTTGATTTTAAGGATATATTTCCCACTTGTATGGAGAAATATAATAGCGCTACAGCATTTGATAAAATTCAATCACGTAACGTCTATATTAAATTGTGTGAAGAAATAAGTAAAAAACTAAATATTAACAATTTTAATTTTAATATATCTTGTAAAGATCTTAGTTCCTATTTGGAAAGTATAATCAATACTGAAAAAGTAGCGTGTTGTAAATATTTCAGTTACAGATTAAAAGATGAGCTAGAAGGTTTAAATCCTTCTTGTGGAGGCGAAAAAGAATGTTACAAAAAAATGAAAGAAGCAAAAGACAGTACTAATAAAACCTTATCTAATGCATGTAAAGAACATGTTGTAGATCTTAAAGATGGTACACATTACATAATGAATGAACTGAATTTGCTATATAATTATTTTAAGGATGCCAAAAATAACAGTTATAATAATTCCAATCAATTTACTTGTACATTTGTTAAAGAATGCTTAAAAATATATAATAAACTTTTAGAAATAAATAGAGGAATCAATAATATCAGCTTAAATGAGGTTCTAAAAATGTTTAAACAAGAATATGATAAACATTATGATAAATTTGTTTATTGTTTATCTTTTTCTAAAATCATACATTATACTTCATGGGCATTTGGAGGAACATTTATATTAACAGTTGCAATATCAGTAACAATATACATTTGGTATATGGTTAATAATTATTTATATTATTAAAATTTGTACTTAAATAAAAAATGATTTGCATGTTATTATGAAAATTTAAAAAAAATATATAATATTCATATAAACGTCCCATTAATTGCTTTACCAACAGTACACCCCTTATGCCTCATATCTACAACAAATTATATTGAAATTAAAGAAAATATTGAATAAAAAAAGTAATAATGTGAAAAATTTAACTAATTCATTTGAAATTACATACAAAAATTTAATTGATGAAAATTATATGGTTTCAAATAACTCTGCAGATTACTACTAATAAAATAATAATACCAATTAATGGATCAAGATAGTTTTCTTTAAAATTTAAATATCATATTAAATAACTTCGTTTTTGTAAATAAAAATAAATAAATATGAAATCGAAAAAGAAATAATGTAATTATAATATTACATACTAAAAATCTTACATTCCTACAATTTAAGTAAATAAGGGAACCATCAATTTCGAAGAAATCCTAGATAATTAGCAATGAGCATGATTATGAAAAAATAAAATGAATTGATGATCATTAAATGAGTAAGGTAAAATTATAATATAATTAGCTAGTTGTAAAAAATTTATTTAAACTCATTATATTTACCATGAATACAACATGTTATTTGTAAAATTCAAAATTATTTACATTATTTAAATAAAAGATTAAATTATAGATTCATTAAAAAATTAAAACAATTATATAATTTAAATAAATATATTGTGATATATTATGTGATAAATAATAGTAATATTCATAAAGAATATTATTTAAATAAAATTTCCAATTTCGTAATTATTTTTTGAGCAAATAATATTTCATGAGCACAATAAAACTTAATTAACCATAGATCATTCCAAATAAACTGTAATATATTACATTTACAAATTTTTAAATGAAGAAAAAATTTCAAGAAAAAATTATTCATGTGTTAAATTATATATATTTAAGTTCAATCTATATATTAAATCTAACCCAATTTGTAAAAAGATATAATTATTGTTACATAATACTATTATCACAATAATATAGCGAATATTAGGAATAATTATAAAGGAAAAATAATAGATTAAGATATATAAGTACTATTTAAGCCTAATAATAATTATATTCATTATAAATTATAAGAGTATAATTTGGTAAATTTTAATATTATTGGTTTTTTCGTTTAATTCTCTGTACATAAAATAATAGCAATACACACATTTATAACATAAATAAAAAACATACAACAATATAATTCAAAATGTGTTCATTTCATTAAAATGTTATTAATAATATGAAAAGAAGGAAAAGACAATATTTTATATTTTAAATAATTTGACATACATTTGAAATATTAAACAAATAGCCAAGATGATATAGTGAACTCTAATAAATACCAAAATTACTTTTATGTTTCTTATTTTTATTCTATAAAAATTCCTTTAATGCAAAATTAAAGTCCTAAATGCACACTTCTTTTATAATCACAGAAACAAATAATAATATACCTGAATTCACACTGTTGAGAAAAAATAATCACGGTATATAAAAAATATAATTTCTTTCATTGATACAATGAATATACTGAAAAATAATTCATTTTAACAAATAATCAAAAAATACATAACATCATATTTTAACATCTTTTAATACATAAATAAAATTAAGAAATATTATTTGTTCAATTAAACATTTTTTAACATTAATATAAAATTAAGTTTTCATTAATAATGTACATTTTAATTCATGATATAAAATTAATAACTTAAAATAAACATTTTTTCTTTTCACTAGTTACCCAAATTCGCATTTTACATTACATATGTAATAAAAAAAAAATACATAAGAAGTTGCATATATTTCTACCTAATGAGATGTTTATACCATCACTAGTGTTTCTTAAATGTATGCTTACCTTTATTTTAAAAGATTGTTTGTTGTCACATAAAACACATATATATACTGTTTAATAAGTTTTTTTTTTCTGTAAAAATTAATGCACCTCTTAATTATATATTAAAATTATAAATAAAATAAATATATTTTTCCTTAATTAAGTGGTATATATTTTCTTCATATATTTTACTCCATCTCTATATTGCATAGTAAATCCTCAATGTTAATATTAATACAAATGTATTTACATGAGTTAATCTCTGAATATTTTTTTTACATAATAAAACATCATTTTACGTATAATTCTGTTGTATCATTGTACCTTTTATTATAAATATACAATTTAATAACAAAATTAATTTAATTTTACACTACACTTCTAAAATTATTTTAATGGTATATTTGCATTCTATGTTTTAAGATATATGCATAAAATAACTTTTATTCCCTTTATTATGAAGCTCATAAAAAAAGGTGGGTTATAAATTCACACTTTTTTTTGAATATTTTTTATACATATGTATATCACCTTGACAAGAATAGTTTTACTTGTAAATATTCGATTACTAAAAATCATCTTTATTTATTTGTTTTTGGATAATGAGTGACCATGCATCTTCAAAAGATTTAATGGTAATATATAATGGATATAAAAAATTATCAGCATTTCATTTTTTTAAATGTTTCATTTTATATAGATTATTAATACTAACTTTATTCTTAGGATATATTTAATCATTTATATGTTATACCCTTTATTTAGCGATCGTCCAAATTATGTTCAATAGAACTGCCTTCAGAAAAATTTTATAATTATTTGAATGCTTATGGTGAAAACATAGAAGCGTACACTGAGGAGTGCAATTCATTAAAGGATCCTTACAATAATAAAGTCATTAAAAAACTTTGCACAAAGATGGTAAAATTTTTAAAAACTAGAAATACGGAAGTTGATAGAAGTAAATTTTCTTTCGATGACTGCATTCTTTTTAATTATTGGATATATGAAGAATTATCTAAATTTTATAATTCTTATAATCATACTAAGGAATTTCTAGCTTTTGGCAATCTACAGCGTATATGGAATGATGTTATTGGTAACCATTCCATTAAATCTAGTTCAAATAATTGTGAACCCTATTTTAAAATATACAGTGAACAGGATTGGCAAAAAAGAAAGAAATTGTATGAATTCTGTGTTCATTATGACACAATTCGTGGGATTGTTGAAAACTTTGATATGTGCAATGAATTCTATGAATACTTTGAAAGTAAAATTGAATTATTTAAGCATTTTGATTCCATTTGTTCTAGTAATAGAGACAATTGTCCAATATTTTATGATAAATATAAGGATTATAACCCGAAGAATTTTTTAGACAAGCTGAAATGTCACCCAGAAATGCAGACAAAAAAACTTATTTCTGCATCATCCAAACATAGAGAACAAGACAACACAATTGCAACTGGGAATTTTCATACACCCAAGTCAACATTAGAAGATGGTTCTTTTTCTCCTTCGCATTTTCCATCCTGTAGTACCAATAATAAAGAAAAATTTAGTTATTTAATTTTTGGTGTAGCAATTTCTATAATTCCAGCATTTATATATAAAGTAAATAAACATGCTAATTATGCATAATGTTAATATGAAACTGTTAATAACTTAATTTTATTACATATTAATAAATAAAACTTAAATATGTTATATATATTTTGTTTTTTTCTTTATTGTAAAAGTTTACACCCTTAGGAAATAAATTACATGAGATCATAGGATTGGGCAAAAACTATATAAATAATATTAATAAAAGTGCATATAGAAATTTTGATAAAATGTCAGGAATATATAATGCATTATATGATATAGAAGAACATTATATACAATATAATTCTTCCGGATTTTTTTAATTTTTAAAACATACATCTGTTCCAATAAGGCACAAAAATATAATTTCAGGTAGTATATATTGATTAGCAAGTTTCTGTTTTCATAATTATAAAAAAATATAACAAGGATAAAATATAACAATATTTCAGATATATTTGTGGAAAAATATTTGTATAAAATATGGTGGCTCGGTACAAAATATAATTATAGCTATATGAAAACAAACAAAATAAAGATAAAATGAAAATTAACACTTAGATATTACTTATTTTTAATTAACTAGTTAATTATGTATGCAAAAATTTTACATTCGTTGTATTTAGAAGTTAAGTGTTTCTATTTATTCCCATTGAACAATAAATATTTATTGATTTTACAATTATGCAAATGCTATTATATTTTGTACATAACCATTATGCATATTAATAAATAAATTACGACACATGAATGGAAAATGTTCAATATTAGTATGTAATTGTTATATTAGTACATATAAATTGTACATGTTGTTATATCCATATGTGTAATGTTAAATTGGGAAAATTCATAATTTTCATTCATTAAAGTTTACATATTTCCATTGTGTTAAAAAGTAAAATATAATTTTTTCATTAATCCAGACACTTTTTAGCACATAATTCATGATTAATAGATATATACATAACAGGTTTTATTTTCTATTTTCATAAAAAATGCACATGCTATACTTATATTTATGAAATACTTATAATACTATATTTTTATTAAGATTTGAAGAAAGAACATTTAGATATTTTACACAATTATTTGTTTTTATGTTATTTATTATTTATTTTTTTTTTATGTATTTCTTAAAGATTAATAAATAATTCATCGATTATATCTTAATTTTATATAATTATCTAGTTGTCTATTTATTTAATAGCATGGGTTCTTGACAATAATTAATAAAACATTAATTGTGAACATGAAACCTTTTAATACACCAACCGGAGAAGCTTATATAAAGAGATATTAAAACAAAATCAATTTCATACCATTTTTCATATTAAAAATGTGCAGAAATTAATTAAAATATTATTTTATATTAACAATTTTTGTGCATACGGTTATTTATGATATGCTATTTGTTGTTTATGTGAAATATAATTTCAATGTATTCTAATCATTCAAGTGTAATAGTAAAAATAGGAAAAATATTTGTTATATTTTCAAAGATATTATTAAAAATTTTAATTAAAATATTGTGATTAAAAAAAAATATTTATCTCAATAATTATAAATAATTATTTCTATTAAATATATATTTTTTAAATAACAAAATACATACGTCATCTTGTTATGTACATTGTATGCTTATATATTTGAATATAATTGTCCAAAAAATATATATTTCCCCAATGATTCACATTTTGAATTACATTATCTAATTCTTTTTGCTTTTTTTTTTTAATTTAGTTTCCTATGATTTCATATAAATATATATGTTATTATAAAACGAAGAAATATTAAATGATTATAATATATATATTTTAATAGTTCTTGAGATTAAAACTGATACATAATTTCGGGAAATTTAGTTTCATCAACGAAAGAACAATACTGTAATATGTTATAATATCATATAAACAGTTTTATGCAATTTATTTATTAAAGTTAAAATGAATGATATATTTATTAAAATTACATGCATTCTGTGAAAAGTTGGGTTTCATTATTAATTATTTATTATTATATTAATTTTTGTCTTTCTAAAGTTACTCTGTAAATGGTATTAAGCAACAAATATAATAACACATTATAATAATGTTCTAAAGTATTTGAACCATAATTATCCTTTAAGTCTTAATATGTTTTTAAAAATCTGAAATATACTGTAAATATACATTATAATATGTAAAGAATATATAGAAATAATTAACGTAATGAAAGCTGGATACTTTATTTTAAGGAATCTGGTTAATTTTGAAAAACCTTACCAAAAAACAAAATGTATATGTATGAATATAGCTTTATATCATTATGTAATTTAAATAGACTTATAATAACTGTACCGTATAATAAATAAGGAACACAACAATAAAAAATTAGCATACAACTTAAATTATAATAAAAAAAATTTCAAAAAAAGACGAGAAATGATGATACACATAAAATAAAATTTAATATTGCATAGAATATATATACATTTTAATTATTATATCGTAATTATAAAAAATAGTAGCAATTTATACTATATTCCACTATTTATAAATATATTTGCATCAATTATATAATAGTTTTATATAATATTTTCATCGCATATTATAAGATACACCAAACTCTGACATTTTTTATTAATTTCTTTTTATTCTAAATCATTATTAAATGTATGTTCAATGTCATCTTATGGGATGTGTTATCTTATTTCTTCTACATTTTAACTTATGTATAATGAACAAATAATTTAAATTTATAATTAAAAATATTATTTTTTTCCTTTTTTATTATTAAAAATTTATTTATAAATTTTTACATATATATATATATATATGCACATTCTTACTCGATTTCTTACACTTCATTAATGATTTTTGGAAATTTCCTTTTTAAAAAACTACAATGTTGAGATAAAATGAAAAATTATATTTTGATGTAATTAATAATTTATTATATAAAATTAATATAATTTGGACGAATTAACATTATGTTATATTGATAACACAAAAGAAAGGGTATTTATGGAAAGATATTCGTCGAAATGAATATTGTGGAAAATTTATACTACATAATAGATTTCATATTTCAAAATGTTAATAAATTAAACGTAACTTGTTATGTAATTTACTAATATAATATTTACTTATTTAGAAAGATAACAATAAGTAATACCATGCAATTCTTCAAAAAAAATGTTTATGATAATAAATCCATATAACTAAAAATGATAACGGATATTTTGAGTGTATTCATTATGTTGTTCTTAATGAAAAACATAAAATGCACATTTTAATACTTAATAATTTATAATTTTAAATGTAAAGGCTATAATATTTTGAAAAATATATATGATATAAAATTATGTATCCCTTTTTTTTATCCAATATAATAGTAAAATTTACATGATAAAGGAAAATATTGAAGTAATTTTTATTATTTCTACGGCGTCCCTTAATTTATAAAACTTAAAACAAAATTTTTAATGTAAATGAATAGATACGAACAATTGATGATGAGAATAATTTGAAAGTTTTATAGTCATAAAGGTATACAGGTTTCATTGTTAATTTTGATATTTTTCATAAAAATAGCTAGTAACGTACTAATATCGATAACATTTATGTTACTGCATAGGTAATAGTGTTTTTTGTGCCATGTTCTTTTAACATATGATAAAATGTAGACACATAATATGTATTTGAAAGGTAAAAAATTGTCATAATTTATTTTTATATTTTATTTTTAAAATTATATCACAATTTTGTCTAAAAATATCACCAATTAAAAAAATTTAATTAACTTTTTATATATTGATTATTTTAAATACCTAGAACATACAAGTAGATATATAGATTTCCATCATAAAATTTTATGTTTAAAGAAACGATAATAAATAATTTAAATTTTCTTCTAACACATATTCTAAAAAATAAAAATAATTTAGTTATAAAATACATTTAACATTATTATTTAGAAAATAAAAAGAAAAGAGAACGTTATTGTTATTGTTGGGTATTTATATAGGAAAATGAATTTTCATGAAATTAGAAAAATATATTGAAAATTCTTACAAAAAGTATATAATAATTATTTTATATTAGAAATATGCATTCTTAATAATATATTAAATAAAATGATGTTAAAATCGTATAACATAAAAAAGGTATGAAAAATATATGAAATTACATTATTTTAAAAAGTTCTATTCACATAAAAATGATAGAAACAATAAATCAATAATTAATATCATAAATGCATAAGTTAAAGTATTTTCATATAATCGGACATCAATGTTTTTATTTATTAATTATTATTTAATGAATTCCATAGGTGTAGCATTTTATGTATATATATATAAATACATAAATTGTTTTATATTAGATCCCTGATGCATGTTACTATATAAAATTTGTTCACACTTACTTTGGGGTTAATAAAATAAAAACATATTAACATATATATATTATTCTTATTTCTTCGTTTACTCAGTTATGATCTTTGTTAAAAATAAACTAAAAGAAAAATATAATTAATCTTGCTTTTAGACATGTTGTGAAACAGCTATAAAAGCGTTTACAATTATTTACAATTAGAGGCTTAAATAAGGTCTGTGATAACTTATTTAAAATTCGTACACTGATATAGATTGTTTAATGTAATATATAATTTTAACTTTAAAAAATATATTTATACCCCTACAAAATAAATAGAAACTATAAATTATATTAGTTAATTAGTGTGAACATTTCATGGAATTTACTATAATTTTTCCCTCATTAATATATTATTATCCGAGGTTTTTACATACATATATATTATTTTACATTTACTAATGTAGGCATTTCATTAATTCACATTTATTAAATATTATTTTATAAAATAAAATATCATTTTTCATACTATATATATATATATATATCATTTATTTAATATATTATTAAGAATGCATATTTCTAATATAAAATAATTATTATATACTTTTTGTAAGAATTTTCAATATATTTTTCTAATTTCATGAAAATTCATTTTCCTATATAAATACCCAACAATAACAATAACGTTCTCTTTTCTTTTTATTTTCTAAATAATAATGTTAAATGTATTTT